GCCTTTGTTGTTTTTATCATTGTTTCATTAACTGTGAAGGGGCTGGAGGACACGTGTGGGCCTGGAGGCCAGAGCTGGTGCCCTGCGTCCCTGTCCCCCAGCTCCCAGCCTGCAGTCCCCCCCGCAGCCTTCGGCACTGAGTGATTGGCAGGCTGGGCCGTGGCATCCTGGCAGGCCTGTCCTGGCAGCTGCTCCCACGAGGCGAGGCCCTGTGAGCTGCCTAGAATTAATTAGGCTGCATTCCTCTTCCAGAGCTCCCAGCGGGCCTGCACCGGCCCCCTCCTGAGCTGCCGAGGGCTCTTGGCTGGGATCCCTGGCAGGCCAAGGCAAGGCCCACACTCTGCCTTCCCCTGACAGGGGCCAGGAGGGCCCTTGTGAGCTGGAAGCTCTGGCCAGGGAGGGGCAGTGAGAAGCCAGCAGCCCTAGGCCAGCTCCCATCCTGGCTTTCCTGGGCGAAGCTGCTTTTGCTGGCTCCCCATCACTCAAGTTCGATTCCCGGCCTCTGTTGCTGCTGTCTCCAGCCTAGCCCCTGCCGACTCTGCCAGCTGCTCTCCTGGCCTCTCCCATGCTCTGGTCAGACACCCCTCACCCCGTTTCCCAGCTGGGGCGCCCTTTCCCTCACGCCAGCAAGTGCACACCTTACCAACCCTCACTCCGCCTCTACCCACCACCAGCAGAAGGCCAGCTCAGGACACCTCCCTTCTCTTGTCCCTTCACTTCCCCCTTGTCCATCTTCCCTGCCAGCCTTGTGGGCAGCGAGCGTGGCTCCCAGAGGCCTGGAATGAAGATGGAGGGCATTTCAGGCCTGGCGGACAGTTTCTAAGGTGGGGAGTTGAGGTGGCAGCTACTGTGGGTGTCTCCTGCCTAGAGCACCCCGCTCCCACCCAGCCCCTCCATGCCAGGTGCTCAGGGGCACACTGCCTGTCTGCCTGCCCCCCTCAGTCCTGGCAAGTCCCTCCTCCTTTTACTACCTCCAAAAGGCTGAGAACAGCGCCATGAGGAAGGGCTCCTTCATCCCTGCGGTTCCCTCTGCCTGGAACCTGCTTCTCCACCCTCCTCCTCCACTTGACTGGCTTTCGGAGAACTCGACCTCCTCCAGGAAGCCACCCTGGGCTCCCCTTCCCCAGGGCCTCCATCAAAGTGTGGATGTACCTAGAAGAGAGGTTGTTTACATGGATATGAAGAGCCCAGGTTGGGAACCAGCAGTTAGCGTAATGGCTATGTCTCTGGACTCCCACGTAGTCGACCGTGGTTCGCATCCCAGACCCGGTGGCTTCAAACTCACGCTGGGCGCGTGTGCGTGCGTGCCCAAGATCCCGAGAGGAGAATGGAGGAGAAGGGATTGTGGCGTGACCATCCCCCCTGGGGAGTGATTTCTCGCTTTCTGTCTATGTCTCTCTCTGTCTGTCTGGCGAGCACATGTGCCCTATAGCGAAAACCTCTCAAAAAAAAAAAAAAAAAAAAAAAAAAAAAAAAGCCCGAGATAAAAACCCACCCCACCCGCACGACAA